GACACAGAAGGATCTATAAGATGACCTAAACAATAACTGTTGTTCACAATAACTTAAAAAATAGTTTAAGATTATATTAGATTTTTAATGCGGTACTTTTAATAAACGTCACGATAAGATAATGAATAATTCATATTTTATTATTATGAACTCATACCAAAATAATAATCAAATTCTAGGGCAATACATGTAATTAAAGCACATTCAAATAAGGGTTGCTTAGGCGATGTGAATGACAATTAAACCAGTGGTGGAAGAAGTATTAGTAGAGTAAAGTAAGATCCTTTACTTAAGTAAAAGTAGTAACGTAACACTGAAAGGTAGGCTACTCCACTACAAGTAAAAGTCCTGCACTCTTAATGAAGTAAAAGTATGTAAGAAACCTATTATCATCACTATACTTAAAAGTAGGTACCAAATGTAAAAGCAGGCCTTCTCATAGTGCAGTAAATGTCAGTGTTTCACTATAATGATGTTTTTAGATAGATTGATAGATCTACAGTAATGCATCATGGTCTAAAGATAATCATATGCTTGTAGCGTCGCTGTCCTGTGAGAACCACATATCTATAAAAAGTAAACTTTTAATGAGCTCAGAGAAACAGCCCTGTTTTCAGCTGATCTATTGTCAGTTTTATTATTTTATTTAGATTAATAAGTAGGATCATATTCTCAACGCTGGAAGGAAAACTTCATCCTTCACTTCATCAGAAAATTTGGTGAAAGCCTTCATTGCTTTCACTGGACAGGAAACGTATGAAATATAGTAATTTAAAAAGTAAATAGTAATTAAAGCTGACAAATGTTGTGTAGTAAAAAGTACAATATTTGCCTATGAGATGTAATAGAGTAGAAGTATAAAGTAGCGTAAAAGGGAAATACTCAAGTAAAGTACAAGTACTTTGAATTTGTACTTAGCATATAGTACTTATGTAATTGTACAGTACCTTACACCACTGAATAAACAAAGAAAAGACGAAATGGCAACTATAGCTTGAACACAAATGCCACCGAAAATACAGCATAGTTTCATAGTCACATTCATAGTCACATTTAGGGTCCAAGCACCAAGTGGTTTCTGATTCAATTGCATTTTTGAGGAGGGATGTTTGAAAACTCACAAAACTTGTCACATAAATCAGTAGCGGAGATATTTGGTATCTGATACGGGTTTTGGGTTTGGCTGTGGCAAAGGAGCACGATAGCCCCATATGAAATTTCAACAAGGTTTCCAGGTGGGATAAAATCAAGTGCAACTGATTTTAAATCACCTGGATAACTATGACCCGGAGGGCTGAGAATCTTCACACCCTTGTGGTACTTTTCACCTAGATGTACAAAATCAGACACATAGGCCTATAACATTTCGAGACCATAGACTGTATTTAAAGTACAATGGTCCAGACTTATTAAAAATCCTCTTGGTGCTGTGCCCTGCCGTCCAGTGTGTAATATTTAGGAGGATCTATGGACAGAAGTGCAATATAATATACATACAGTAACTATGTTTTCAGTGGTGTATAAAGAACATAAATAATGAACCGTTATGTTTTTATTACCTTAGAATGAGACATTTCTATCTACAAACACTGCGTGTCCTCTTACATGGACATTGCCATGTTGCTCCACCGTGTTTCTACAGTAGCACAAACGGCTCTACAGAATGGGTTTTTTATCCATAGACCGTATGTAAGAAGTGGACGTAGTCGTCTTGACGTCACCCGTTGTGGACTGCCAGGAAGTGCCCAGAAGTGACCATATTTGGATGAGACGGTGGAGCTAACGGCCATGTGTGGAGCTACCTGGCTTGCTTAGTTAGGTACATATGTAATTCACATTAACTGTCACTTTAACTGGGCTGATAACTTTGGCTAGTCTTAAAACTAAATGTACTCACCAGAGAAAGTGAACAGCCAACCCCTAATCAGCTTTTTCAACAGCGCTGGTTAAATTTACACAGTGCCGTGCTGAGTCACTCTTGCCTGATTGACAGGTCGCCATGGTAACGACTTGTAAATCACAGTAATCCCGCCCTGAAGCACACTCTGCTTATAATCTATTTTCCTCTAAATTGGACCATAATTTACTAAATGAACATCATGTTTTATTAAAGAAACCAGCGACTGAGACCATAAACTCAAAAGTGAAAGTGTTTACTGAGGTAATAAATCAGCTGAGAAGTAGGGTAATTTTACCATTATTTCTAATGGAGCCGGACTTCTTTTTGCAACCAGAAGAGTCGCCCCCTGCTGGCCGTTCAATAGAGTGCAGGTTTAATGGAGTTCCGCGTCGGCTTCGCATCTCAGACCGGAAGCTTCTCTCTTGGTTTCATCACTACGTTCAGTACGCAGGAAGAAGAAGTAGTAGTAGTAGTAGTAGTAGTAGTCAACTGGTTTATTAGAAGGAAGAAGACAAGTGAAGTTTGGACAAATCGAGGACCACACGCACAAGAGCCGACAGAGCGTGTCGGCCACCATAGCTTCTCCTGCACGCTTGGAAAGGGAGGAGTGAGCGGTGAGTGAGCAGTTAGTTGCAATTCGCAACCCTCGCCTCTTGATGGCACTAAAACTTACACACTGAACCTTTAAGAAACTCTTCCTGGGAGATTTAATGGATCCAACTCAAAGTCTAAAGACTTTCTAAATCCAAAGTTTTGACATGGAGGACAATTTAAGTGTTTCGCCATGAAACAGGAAGCTGTTATAGGTTAACACAACTTTACATTTTTAAATCTGCCCCAAATTTCACATGCTTGATCTTGAAGAGTCCAGATTTACGGGCCAATATTGAGTAATAAGCATATCATCAACTGCTGTTAACAGGAAGTCAGTATTTCCACATCATTCGATTTACATGAAATCTGCATTGTGTAGTCTGCATTTTATCTACAGCAACATTAGTGTGTGTTCTGTAGCATCACATAGTGGGCACAGGACGTATTGTGAATGTGACTTACATTGGAGGAAGGCTTGTAAGGCACATCACCTGCCTTTGGCTTTGGCTGCTGATATAAACTCTTTGTATAAGCTGTCCCAGAACCTGCAATGCCTGAAAAAACTGAGGTTTCAATGTTTTATGTACAATTTTGCAGTTAATGTGTTTTTAAAGCCAGCCAGTCAAGTGTCTGCACAAAAATGTTGTTTGTTCCAATCACACAAATCCGTTAATTTTATGGACATATACCTAGTTATCAAAACAGTTATCAAGACACTTCATCATCATTACCATAATCATCTACATCTCTAACACTGTAGTGACTTTGACTGGTGATATCCTCAGTGGCGCTGTAGTTTGTGTGTTAATGAAGGGAAACAGCTTCTCAGTGAAAGTGTTTGAGAAGGTGTACAGGTTTGTTTTGGTATCCGGATCAGAGAATGTCACTTTTCTTCCGTTGCAGTCCAGAAACACTCTGATCCTCTGCAGCAGCTTCTTTACAGAAAGAACTTTATTTGTAACAGATGGAAAGTATGCTCTGTATTTACCGTCGCAGAACCATATCTCCCAGTATCCAGTGTGAGTTTCTCCCTTCCTTGGTACAGACTCTGCTATCACACCAACTGCCCAGTTTGCATTTGTGTAAGTAACCTCCACGTCCCAGATGTGAGTCCCCGAGTTAAAGCCCTCAGATCCCACCACTGTGGTGTAGTATTCAAACCTCTCTGGGTTTTTTGGAAGAGTTTGCTCTGTAACTCCATTTATCACAGTGGCCAGATCTTCTGACAGACTAAGGTGTGGTTCTGCAGTGTTGGGGTCCAGGATCACAGGAAAATATGTAACCATCTCCTCCATCTTGCTCCAGATGTTGAAGGTCAGGTTGCCCAGGTGTTTGGCCACGTCGATCAGAGCTCCTGGGCCCAGCTGTGGATCATCCTGCAGGAGGTGCTGCTGGACTCTTTCCACTGCAGCCTTGTAGTTCTGCAGGAATGAGACATTTCCAGTTTCCAGCTCCTCCTCTGTGGCTCCGAGTGTGTCACTAATATCTGATATCTCTCTGTTCAGATCATCCATCTTCTGCTTCATCATTCGACTCTTCTGCTCCTCTTCCTCCCTCAGAGCAGTGATCCTGGCCTCCTCTTCCTCTTGTAGAAAATAGTGAAGCTTCTCAAACTGCTCTTTAATCAGCCTCTCTGTGTGATGAGCCTGGACTTTAATTTCTCTTGCTGTATATTTCCAGTTAACTGTAACTTGATTAAAGAGACAGTTTCTCTTCTAAGGGCTTCAGGCAGTTCCTGAGCCTCCTCCTGTAATCCAGTGCAGCTTCATCAATGGGTCTGAATCTGTGGTTGTTGTGCGTTATTGAATCTCAACACACCAGACACACCGGCTTCTGATGGTCCAGACAGAAGAGCTTTAACTTCTCTGAGTGCAGACTGCAGAGATCCTCAGACTCTGCAGGAGCTTCATCTTCTAGAGAAAGTTTCTGTTGGAAGGCTTCACACAGGTTCTTTAATGCCAAGTTACACGGTGGGTCACTCTTTGAAGATCTTCTTTTACAAACTGGACACTGCTGAATCGGGTTCACATCCCACCAGCTCTGCAGACAGTCTTTACAGAAACTGTGGCTGCACGACAGCACAACAGGATTTTTAAAGATGTCTTGACAGACTGGACAAAAGAAATCCATCTCAGCTTGAGAAACCAGAGCAGCCATTTCTGGGCGATGCTGAAAACACAGACAGATATTGAAACAGGAAATCAGTTTTGGCTTTTCACTTTGAGTCGTCGCTCGTTTAAAGTTCTCCACTCTTGTGAAAGCAGCAGTATTCCCAGTGCTCGTTACTTCCTCTCTCTCTCTCTCTCAGTAGAAGTTGTGGTCGTCGGTCTCTGTCCTCGAGAAACAATAAAAACAGACTATGTTTCCTGGTTTATATCTCTATAGTCAGAGGACTGAATAACTGTAACCAGGAGTGTTTTGCCTTTCAAATTATTCCTCTCTGTGTAGGCTACTTTGGTTATGGTGGCGTCACAGTAGCCAAGTGAAGACAGAAGAACAAGAGATCTAGACTCAAACGCAAATTCAGTTTTTATTCTTTAATAACCATGAGAACAACTTACATCACAGGTGAGGCAGGCAGTCCAAACAACTAAATCCAAGAATGGTTCAAGCAGTAACCCAAGGTTAAAGAAGTCCAAACACATCAATCCAAATGTTGTGGAATTTTCTTAAAATATTAAAATAGAAACTTCCACCAACAAAATGTCATTCTTGAGTGTGTTCATTACAAAGAAATCTCAGCTAAGAGGCAGAGTGTCTGACCACCATTGCAGAAAACAAACGTTTTCTAGGCAGGAGAAGAAACTCTGTACTTTTGCAATTCTCTTTTCTGAGAACAGCTAGACACTTACTCTTGCTGGCTGGGGCAGATTAGCTCCATATCAGCAACAAGCATGCAAAACCAATGTGGGAGGAGCAAACAATCTCACTCGCAGGTAGTTCAGTGCAAGCATAGTGAGCAGAAACAAGAGGAGTGTCACCGTCGGTGGGTGCGTGAAGCAGGAGTGAGCCCAAATGCACGACACTTATCGCTGAGTTACAGTTCAGGGGTGTTTAATCCAGGGCAAGACAAAAACAGGCATGAACCAAACTCACAAGTACAGGGGAACTGGTACATCCAAAAATGCAGACCTAGGTGGCACAGTGACTGCTGGAACACACAACTTACAACAGAGCATACAGGCAACATGCGACAATGACCAGAGGGGGAATGAACAGAAACACCAAACATTTAAACACAGGGACTAACGGGCAGGGCGGGAGCAACACAGGTGACCGGGATCAGGGCTAATGAGGCAGGCAGAGAGACAGCAGGGGGGAACAGAGAGACACTCACAGATGCAAAACAGAAGACCATACATTAACTGGAACTCAAAGTATTTATTGGACAAGCAAGCAGAGGAATTACTGGGGGAACAGACACAAGCAAACAGATCACAAATAAACACCAACAAGGAACACAGACAGAAGCAAAGATAAAACAAAACTCAGAGCAGACATGGGCAAAACACAGAAGTACACAGACCAGGAGTAAACACTAAAGACATGAACTAAGGTACAGGACTAAGAACTAAAGACACAAACTAGGAACTAAGATACGAGACAAGACAGATATGAAGTAACTTAACGATGCAGGGGAATGAAATAATAAAGGCTACAAAGAGACTAAAGCAGAATGAAGAAAATCAGATTAATTAATGAAACTGGTAAAGAACATAAATGACACCTAACGAACATACGGAACCCAGACACAGAGAAACCAAAATCAAAACACAGAGAATGCATGGCCAAAATAATATAACCCAGACCAGCTCAGGACAGGATCGTGACAACTTACTGCAGACACTGTTGGTTTAAATCAGAGACACTTTAAATATCCCCTCGTCTGAACTAATCACTCTGTTAAAGACTTCATGATTCTCGGTTATTTAGCAGTCTACGTTGTTAACCAGGTCAGATGTACAGAGATTCCACAGCTTCATTAGTGCCCTATACCAAAAGGAAGTCAGACAGAGTTCATGTAAAGTGCATTTTATAGGCGTTCTGCTGAACAAAGTCCTCTTGGGCGATTAAAGGGATCCACCCTTTATACAGTTTATGGATCCACTGCAAAGTCTAAAGACTTTCACAATGTAAAGTTTTAACAAAATGGATAATCTCTCATGTTTCACAAAGCAGGAAGCTGTTGATTCAACTTTATTATTAAATCTGCCCCAAATTTCACATGCTTGATGGTCTAGATAGAGTCCATATCTACATGCCAATACTGAGTCACAGGCATAGCAACAACAACTGGCAACAGGAAGTCAATATTATGTCATCATTCAAACATAATTTGTATTATATGAAATCTACATTGTGGTCTACACTTTATCTACAGCAACATCCTGCAAGATGAGAGTGTGTCTGCCCCACGTAGTGGGCACAAGAGGTGATGTGAATGTGCTTCCATTCCTTTGAGTTACGTTGGAGAAAGACTTGCACGGCAACTCACCTGCCTCTGGGTGTAAGTTTGATAAACAATCTTTGAATGAGTTCTCCCAAAACATGCCATACATAGTTTTAATGTTTTATGTACATTCAAAACCAGCCAGTCGACTGACTTCCTGCACAAATATGTTGTTTGTTCTAATCACACAAATAAACACACACATATCTGTTAAATTAGATTAAAATAAAGTAGTTAATTAAAACACATCATCATCCTGATAATCCTCATTAACTTTGTTAGCATAATCTTCTACATCTCTAACAGTGCAGTGACTTTGACTGGTGATATCCTCAGTGGCGCTGTATCTTCAGTTTTGATGAAGGGAAACAGCTTCTCAGTGAAAGTGTGTGAGAAGGTGTGCAGGTTTGTTTTGGTATCCGAATCAGAGAATGTAATTTTTTTTCTCTTGCAGTCCAGAGACACTCTGATCCTCTGCAGCGGCTTCTTTACAGAGAGAACTTTATCTCCAACTGCTGGAGAGTATGCTCTGTATTTACCATCGCGGAACCATATATTCCAGTATCCAGTCTGTATTACTGCTTTCCTTGGTACAGACTCTGCTATCACACCAACTGCCCAATCTACATTATCTGTAACCTCCACATCCCAGCTGTGAGTCCCCAAGTTAAAGCCCTCAGATCCCAGTATTGCATTGTAGTCTTCAAACCTCTCTGGGTTTTTTGGAAGAGTTTGCTCTGTAACTCCATTTATTACAGTGGTCAGATCTTCTGACAGACTAAGGTGTGGTTCTGCAGTGTTGGGGTCCAGGATCACAGGAAAATATGTAACCATCTCCTCCATCTTGCTCCAGATGTTGAAGGTCAGGTTGCCCAGGTGTTTGGCCACGTCGATCAGAGCTCCTGGGCCCAGCTGTGGATCATCCTGCAGGAGGTGCTGCTGGACTCTTTCCACTGCAGCCTTGTAGTTCTGCAGGAATGAGACATTTCCAGTTTCCAGCTCCTCCTCTGTGGCTCCGAGTGTGTCACTAATATCTGCTATCTCTCTGTTCAGATCATCCATCTTCTGCTTCATCATTCGACTCTTCTGCTCCTCTTCCTCCCTCAGAGCAGTGATCCTGGCCTCCTCTTCTTCATGTAGAAAATAGTGAAGCTTCTCAAACTGCTCTTTAATCAGCCTCTCTGTGTGATGAGCCTGGACCTTAATTTCTCTTGCTGTATTTTCCCAGTTTAATGTAACTTGATTAAAGAGATACAGTTTCTCTTCTAAGAGCATCGGGTATTTCTTGAGCCTCCTCCTGTAATCCGGTGCAGCTTCATCAATTGGCTTGAATCTGTGGTTGTTGTGCGTTATTGAATCTCGACACACCAGACACACCGGCTTCTGATGGTCCAGACAGAAGAGCTTTAACTTCTCTGAGTGCAGACTGCAGAGATCCTCAGACTCTGCAGGAGCTTCCTCTTCTAGAGAAAGTTTCTGTTGGAAAGCTTCACACAGGTTCTTTAATGCCAAGTTACACGGTGGGTCACTCTTTGACGATCTTCTTTTACAAACTGGACACTGCTGAATCGGGTTCACTTCCCACCAGCTCTGCAGACAGTCTTTACAGAAGCTGTGGCTGCACGACAGCACAACAGGATTTTTAAAGATGTCTTGACAGACTGGACAAAAGAAATCCATCTCAGCTTGAGAAACCAGAGCAGCCATTTCTGGGCGATGCTGAAAACACAGACAGATACTCAAACAGGAAATCAGTTTTGGCTTTTCACTTTGAGTCGTCGCTCTTCAAAAGCTCTCCTCTTCGGTGAAAGTATAATTCCAGTATTCCCAGTATTCCTTACTTCTTGACTCTCAGTGGAAGTTGTGGGCTTTGTATCCTGTTGTCTGTTTCTGTGTGTGTCTCTTTCCTCAGTGAGAAACAATTAAAACAATGTTTCCTGGTTCATATCTTGATGGTCAGAGAGTGGGTGGTTTGTCAAGAAACATTCCTTTCTCATTGCTCATTAGCTTTTAAAGTTTCAGTTGTATTTATTCCTTAAAAGATCACTAAACCATGTCGTCTGACTGTCAGATGGGAGTTGATCAAAATGTTAAAATGTTGATTGGAGTCTCCTTAAGTTATCACCCTGCACTCACACCATTTAAGCTTTACAAGCGTTAGTGGGTGTTTTTCAACATTTTATTTACCCTGGATTTTGCTTCTTATAAAAACTGCCCAACCTTCTGGTGAAGGTTGTTTAAGCAAGGCTGCAGATACTGCTGAGGTTTTTTTTGAGGGGGGGAAATCCCCCTTTATTTATTTTAAAGATGATTCTCTTAAAAAAATGTTCATCATCTTGTAGATCAATTCATTGGAAATAATGTTGAGTTTTTTCTTTGTCAATGTCGTGTTTCTATTAAGGAAGTTACAGGTGTTTATTGGGTTAGTGCACTAATGCAGCAATGTAGCTGGACTTTACTGGTATACTAACATTTTGGAAAGCATGATAACCAAATGAATTGTGATTTCTTTGCTAGATGATATTTTCTACTTTCCCAGTGTAGTGTGATGTCTATTGCTTTCATGAACTGCATGCCGGTTTACTTCCAGTCAACTCTACAGTAACGTTACCGTTTCACAGTTAGCTTTGAATAATATTCATCTCTTGTGTTTGCACATAGTGTTTTTAATCATTTTGAAAATCCCTGAGTGACGTAAATAACCATAAGGGACGTTCCACACCTGAACTGATGAGAGGCCTGACGAGTCCCTGCTCAGTCTCTCCCTTTGTTTGCTGCAGCATGTCTGTCTAAATGTGATATTGCCAATCTTCCAGTTGTTTGTGCACCAAATGCTTTATTGACTGTTAAATCATCTGTGTTAGTCAACTACTTCACTTTACTTTAGTCAACTAAGTGGGAATCTTTTAAAAACGATTAACTGTTCAACGGCTGTCATCTCTGGTATAAATTTGCGTGCTATTGCAGAGGCTTTTGAAATAATCCAACTACCACAAAGTCAAGTTTCTACATGGTCTTTCACTGGAGCACTTCGTCATTGGGGAGAGCAGGGAGAGCAGCATGATGAAGAGGGACCAAGGTGTGGAACACATCAGAGGTAAATGCACTATGAGCATCATCAAGCCACTCCCCCTCCCTTGATGAATTACATTTTCATGAGGCTGAGTCTATGAATTGAAGACAGCCTTGCCCAAATTGAGCAAATTTTAAATATGGTCATGCATCTTCTTAATAGACAGGATGCATTAGAGAAGCAGCAAGGCTCACTTACATAGATCTTATCCCCTCAAGTGATTCAGGTGTTGAGTCTGAAGTTGACTGTAATGTTAGCATCCCCAAACAAAGCAAACTCAAATACACGTACACAGTGAGTGTCAATTGGCAATTCACCAACGTGATGATTACATGCCCAACGTGTATTTTCAGTTGACAGTTTTGAATGAGCTCTGATGAACAGAAACAAAGGGCAGTGTTTTGGAGGAATAATACTTTATTAATGAGTAGATAGATTATATATCAACTATTAACTTCATAAATAAATAAATTGAGGTACATTAACATGCGAATATCTCTTGACACTGCAGACACTGTTGGTTTGAATCAGAGACACTTTAAATATCCCTCGTCTAAACTAATCACTCTTTTAAAGACTTCATGATTCTCAGTTATTTAGCAATTTAATAATAAGATTTCTATTTTAATCAGGCCAGATATACAGGGATTCCTCAGCTTGGTCATTGAGGGTAAAGGTGCAGATTCAAAAAGGCATTTAAGACATAAAGAAATTAGGAATCGCCCAGCTGGGATTCAGTCATGTCCGTTACCAGAAGCACTGGAGAAATTACAAGGTCATGAAAAAGAAACCTCGTTCCACATTTGTAGATGCAAATGTTTATTTCCTGCCTTCATCTTCCCATGAAAAATGACCTAAACATGCACACCTTCTCACACACTTTCACTGGGAAGCCTAAATAAACACACTCATATCTGTTAATTTATAGGAATAGAATAGTGGACATAAAATAATTTGTTAAAGAAATAGACTCATCATCATCATCATCATCATCATCATCATCATCATCATCAGAATCCTGATCATCATCATTACCATCATTAACATAACTAACGTAACTTAACAATGATGTTCACTGGTGATATCCTAAGTGGCGCTGTATCCTGAGTGCTAATGTAGGGAAACAGCTTCTCAGTGAAAGTGTGTGAGAAGGTGTGCAGGTTTGTTTTGGTATCCGGATCAGAGAATGACATTTCTCCTCGACAGTCCAGAGACACTCTGATCCTCTGCAGCGGCTTCTTTACAGAGACAGCTTTATCTGTGTCAGATGGAGAAAATGCTCTGTATTCACCATCTTGAGACCATATCTCCCAGTATCCACTCTGTATTTCTCCCTTTCTTGGGACAGACTCTGCTATCACACCAACTGCCCAGTTTCCATTATTTGATACTTCCACATCCCAGATGTGAGTCCCCGAGTTAAAGCCCTCAGATCCCACCACTGTGGTGTAGTATTCAAACCTCTCTGGGTTTTTTGGAAGAGTTTGCTCTGTAACTCCATTTATTACAGTGGCCAGATCTTCTGACAGACTAAGGTGTGGTTCTGCAGTGTTGGGGTCCAGGATCACAGGAAAATATGTAACCATCTCCTTTCATCTTGCTCCAGATGTTGAAGGTCAGGTTGCCCAGGTGTTTGGCCACGTCGATCACAGCTCCTGGGCCCAGCTGTGGATCATCCTGCAGGAGGTGCTGCTGGACTCTTTCCACTGCAGCCTTGTAGTTCTGCAGGAATGAGACATTTCCAGTTTACAGCTCCTCCTCTGTGGCTCCGAGTGTGTCACTAATATCTGCTATCTCTCTGTTCAGATCATCCATCTTCTGCTTTATCATTCGACTCTTCTGCTCCTCTTCCTCCCTCAGAGCAGTGATCCTGGCCTCCTCTTCCTCTTGTAGAAAATAGTGAAGCTTCTCAAACTGCTCTTTAATCAGCTTCTCTGTGTGATGAGCCTGGACCTTAATTTCTCTTGCTGTATTTTCCCAGTTAACTGTAACTTGGTCAAAGTGCTCCAATTTCTCTTCTAAGGGCTTCAGGCAGTTCCTGAGCCAACTCTTGTAATCCAGCACAGCTTCATCGATGGGTCTGAATTTGTGGTTGTTGTGCATTATTGAATCTCGACACACCAGACACACCGGCTTCTGGTGGTCCAGACAGAAGAGCTTTAACTTCTCTGAGTGCAGACTGCAGAGATCCTCAGACTCTGCAGGAGCTTCCTCTTCTAGAGAAAGTTTCTGTTGGAAGGCTTCACACAGGTTCTTTAATGCCAAGTTACACGGTGGGTCACTCTTTGAAGATCTTCTTTTACAAACTGGACACTGTTGAATCGGGTTCACATCCCACCAGCTCTGCAGACAGTCTTTACAGAAACTGTGGCTGCACGACAGCACAACAGGATTTTTAAAGATGTCTTGACAGACTGGACAAAAGAAATCCATCTCAGCTTGAGAAACCAGAGCAGCCATTTCTGGGCGATGCTGAAAACAAAATCAGTTTAGGCTTCTGAGTTTGAGTCGTCACTCTTTTAAAGCTCACCACTTCTTGTAAGTGCGAGAGGTTGGCTTGTCAAGAAGAACTGTACCAACCAGGAGTGGCTTGTGTTTGAAAGCATTCCTTTTCCAATTGCTCAGTAGATTTTAAAGTTTCAGTTTCACTCATTCACTAAAAGATCACTAAACCATGTTGTCTGACTGTCAGGTGGGAGAAACTCGGAGTTGATCACAATGTTAAAATGTCTCCTTATGTTATCACCTGTTCTCACAGAATTCAAGTTTTACGAGCATTAGTGGGTGTTAATCAAAAATGAGTTTGCGCTGGATTTTGCCTCCCATACAAATGCCCTACCTTCCAGGTGGAGGTTGTTGTGGCAAGGTTGCAGACACTACTGCGGTTTTGGGGGCAAAAAAATCTTTAGCTGATTAAATTTAAAGCTAATTCTCTTATAAAAGGTGTTGATCAACTTGTTGATCAACAGAGCTCTACAAATTTATTGAGCTTAGAGGTTCATTGCTAAGATTGGAAATGGTAACGTTATGTTTTTCTTTGTCAAACATCAGTTATCTATCACGGAAGTTACATTTGGCAGACGCTTTTATCCAAAGTGACTTACATTTGAGGAACACAATGGCCGAGAAGGAACATAAGCTTGTAGTTTAGGCAGATGGGTGGAGACCCAGTAGTCACTCTGTATGCAAGCATTAGTAACTTGAATTTGATTCGTGAGGCCTCAGGTAGCCAGTGGAGGTCGCTGAGTACTTTTGGGTTGATCAGAAAACAGACGTACTGCTGCGTTCTGAACCATTTGTAGTTGTTTTAATGCACAAGCTGGAAGATCTGTTAGGAGGGCATTGCAATAGTCGAGGCGTGAGATAACCATGGCCTTTACCAGAAGCTTGGGTGGCGTGCCTCTATTTTAAAGGAGACCTATTATACTGCTTTTCCAGTCTGTCACAGTACTTCTGTGACTCCTGTGTGGCAGCTTTGCATGATTCAAAGTTCAAAAAAATAATTGTCTGTCTTAGCCTGGCTCTTCATGTAGGCCTTCAATTCAGCCTCTGTCTGAAACAAGCTGTAGATGCTCCAGTCTCTTTAAGGCTCCCCCTCTCAAAGCCCCCTGTCTTCTCATTGGCCAAGACCTGAAGCATGTTGGGCGGTACAGCTAGACTGAGCGTTGCTGTGCTGTTGCTGTGGGAGCAAATTACCATATATGGAACCCGGCTCCGTCTGGCTCCGTGTGTCCTAGAACGGAGCCGTTGGTAGAAAAAGCATTGTACATAAGTCATAAAATGTGGAAAAGCATAATAGGTCTCTTAAGTGTAGAGATTTCTTCCCTGATGGTGAAACCGATCTCTGAGACCTGGGTGTCAAAAGTCAGGCATATCTCAGTTTTAGTGGTTTAAAGGTCATAAGTTATATAATATAATTATATAACTTTGGTGGGATAATTATTTGAGTTTTAAGTTTTAAACCACATTTAACCAATTTTTGCAAGAGCTATCAGGGTATGTGACCTTCCAGCTCATGGTTTACTAGCGCCGCTGTCATGCAACTTCTAAGTAGAAAGTATGCATCAAACAGGCAGCAAGGCTCAAATCTTATCCCTCAAGTGATTGCGGCGGTGAGTCTAAAGTATACTGTGAAGTTAGTAGCCCAACCCAAACACAGTGACAGCAACTCAAATACGTGTAAACAGTGAGTGTCAACTGCCAATACGCCAACATGGTGATTACAGGCACAACATGTATTTTCAGGCTCTGACAAACAGAAACAAATGGCAGTGTGTTGGAGGAATAATACTTTATTCAGTAGCAGATACTAGATTATATATATAACAAATATTAACTTCATACATAAATAGAGATACATAAACATACAAATATGTCATATCTACAAACTTGGCACTGCAGACACTGTTGGTTTGAGTCAGAGACACTTTAAATATCCCCTCGTCTAAACTAATCACTCTTTTTAAAACTTCATGATTCTCAGTTATTTAGCAATTTAAGTTTGTAATTATAATGATGTGATTTCAAGAAATTAGGAAATGCCCAGCTGGGATTCAGTCATGTCAATTACCAGAAACATTGGAAAAATTACAGAGTTATAAAATAATTGTAATTACACATATGTAGATGCAGACATTTATTTCCTTTCTTTACTCATGAATAAAAACTACCTTGTGTTCCCCATGAAGCCAGGTGTGTAATTATTTGTACTTGCAGGTCTAGTTGTTTTTCATGTTTTTTTTTCTCAAGAACGAGAATGTCATGAAAATACATTTTTATGCTGCATTATTGGGTGTCAGTGCATTTCGCCAAACAATATGAGGCTTGGTGACCTTCGTATTGGTACAAAGCTCGTAGGAAAAGGAAATTATGTGTAGATAGTATTAGAATGTAGTTTGCATCTTGGAGGGGTTTAACACAGAAAAGGGAGGCTTGGTTAAGTTCACAATGAATGAGAAGAGCAAGATTTACTGTAGATTGTTAGTGTTGGAATGTGGCCTTGCCCTTGGTGAAATTTATAACATTTAGGTATGAGTTCAGAGGCTGTGTGTACTTTACCTGACTTTACTTCCAGAAGGCAAGTACAAAAAGTTAAATGCAAGAATCTGTGGCATTATTCATGTAAGAGTGCAAATTACTCAGCTAAACAACGATTTAGGGCCGAAACTAACAACTGATTACCGGTTTAATCGACAAATTTTTTCAGCAGTAAAATGGTGGAGTGTGTTTCATGTGGCTATTTATAAGTCCGTTATCAGTTTGTAAAACCACTTACACTAAGGCTACATTCACATTACTAAGTTTTGCATGAAAAAGATCTCCATACACATCAGCATTTTATCTGTGTATCAGAATTTATCCGTCCGTCCGTACTAAAATGACTGAAAACGCACATCATGACCATTCACGTCCATACACTGGGCATGCTGGTGTAAAAAGGAAGCAGATTGTCTACTCTGCAGTTTTGACGATACAAGAGCTGTTAGCAAAGACATCAAGGTCAGTAACGGTTGTAATACGTTATCCATGATGCCCTCACTACTGGTAGTCCAGGGGCGAGTTCAATCTCAAAACGTTTTGCGTCATGTTTCCTTGAAATGTTGTGCAATGAGGTATTTTTCTCCCATTTGGTGGGCGTGTCAGACGTGTCACCCAATCAGCTGCGACAAGTCAGCACAAAAGGCAGGAAAATGCAGTGCGCTTGCGTACACAACAGGGTGTTCAATGCACCACCGTTTACATTGAAAAAAACGTTTTGCTACGTTTTGTCGGTGCTGAACTCGCGCCATGCTGATGTATGTTTTGTCCCAGAGATGGGTCATGTGACAGGAGCCTGATGAATTAGGGAAGAATACTCCATGACCGATAAGACCCAATCAGGAAGCCAAATGTGAGTCCTCCGTTTTCACCTATCCGCACTAGGCTACCCTGGAGTTTTAAAATGAAAACGCGGTCTACAGAGTTTTCAAACTCTTCAGATACGCCGTTTTAGTCTGAACGGCAGGTGCAAATGTAGCAAAAGTGCTGTGTTTTAAAATGAAAACGTAGTAGAATGGATGTAGAAGAATTGATAGGGCCAAATTCTAACATTTTGTTCTAGTTTTTGTTTTGTAGTTAGTTTTTTAAATCCACTGTGGGGCATTTAAAATCAGCTGCAGTTGGTTTGGCCACCCCTGGTCTAAGGGTTCAAGACATCGTCATATTGGAATGCAGCCTATACATCATCTGTAAAGTATATTTCATATTAGAATAGGTCCCTCTGTCTCCAAACAGGATTTGGGGGCTTTGTGTGAAAGGCCTGTTCACACCAGCATTTAAAACAACCAGCGAAATTGATTCATTTTTTAAACTTTTAAACTCGTGTTCAACTTCAGTAAACTTTGACATACAAAGTTGCACCATTGACTAATAGTATGCCAGTTTTTCAGTGCTGGTCTTTGAGGGAATGGAAAGCCAGTGAGTCCAAAATGGAGGAAACTGTCGTAGCTTATTAGCTGTTTTGCACCATTCAGTTTTATTTAACGTCCTTTGACAGAGATAAACTGCTCCACAAAAGAGGCTAAGTTAGCGAGCTTGTTTGCTTAGACAGCCTTTTCCCCCCCAACAACTCTTTATTAAATTAATTGTCCTGGGAAGAAAATGCCAGCTTGGGGAATTACGGCCAAGTACAGAGAAAACGAAAAAGAGTGCTACTGTAACAGAATGATGCTAACCCCGGCTGTGTAACGTGTTAGCAGTTAGCTTACAAGCTACAGAAGTTTACTAACTAGTCCCTACATCATAGGAACCACATATTTCACGAAAGGATACATTTCCTTGTACCGCTTACTGGCATGAGCAGGCCTTAAGAGAAGAGCTGTGCTTTTCAGCTTTTTGTCAGAATGCAGCCTTTCCTTAGGACAAGAGAGTATCTGTATTATGCTTCAGGAATGAATTACCACTTAGCTTTAGTGTTTAAAAGTACTCATTGGAGACACTTTATTCTTCCTTGGAATGAAGCCTCTCTGGTCTTTCAGAGCACATTATAAACACTTTACAGTATAAAGTGAGCATAGTGTACATAATGTAGTGCTTTTAAACTGAATACATCGTTTTTCCACCAGCATGGATTAAAGGGTAAGTTTTGTATTTTGCTACCTGGACCTTAGTTTCCCATGCAGGCAATTGCGCCCTGTCAAAGTACGTCCAATGAAGTGCTTGTTTTTGCCACTGACAGGCTGAGATTGTTTTTAGAAGTGTCTGAAAACATCATGGAAAGGATCCCGGCAGAGAGAGTCTTCTTTTGAAAGAGTAAAGACCCTTTTGTTTAACCAGAAACAGTCATTATATTGTGATCTCCAGAACCACCAGATTCCCTTGACAAAAACCATATTTATTATCTCTCTGTTCTGCTGCTGCCTGGTCAGGTAGTTTGTTCACACAATAACAAACAAACTAAACGACCAGCAGCTCCTGTGTTCATTAAGGTGAAATTATGTCTGGTGGCTTTGACAAGAGAAACATAGCAACAGACACTTCTGAGCCTGTCAGTGGAAAAAACAAGCACTTTGGTGAACATACTTTCACGGGACAACAATTGCCCACAAAGATTATGTTGCAGCCCTGTTTTGCTGCTGCTGACTGCAAAGCGCTCACTCAATACCGGACCGATTTTTTTCTTTTTTTTAAAACTGTGTCCCAATTAGACACATCAAAACTAAAACATTGGAAAATACTGCTGAAAAATACTTTAAATTTGAATGCATAGAAGACAAATTAATCTTTATATTGTAATGAAACCTTTAAACGTGGACAGTGTCTGTACTTCATACTGGAATGTAACCTCCTTTCTTAGTTGGCTAAACTTGAGATACATAAATAGAAGTTTACTTAATATTGAAATGCATCCTCTGACTTCCTCTCCACCCCCAGTAAAGAAGGAAGGACTTTTTGACACTGCTTGGACTTAATGTTGGAAGGCAGCCTCAGATTTCTGCTGTTATCTCCAGCTTGGCCTGGTGGACTTGACTGAGTCCCTAGAATTAGTTGACTTGTCGGAGAAGGTGCCTTTAGGGGGAACCAGCGAGTCGTGGAGCGATGAGCGTATTACCCTGATGCTCTGAGTCCTTCTCAGTGGAGATGGGCAGGGTGGGTTGAGGGGAACAGAAGATCTTGAGGGGGCAGAGACTTCTGTTAGGGTGACAGGTGAGGAGGCGCCAGGTGGGGCAACAGAGGAGGAGGTGGTCTTGGTGATCTTCGGGGAGGATTTCGGGGAGCAGTCCGAGCCAGTGTGGGGTGAATGGGGACGAGCAAGGGTGGTGTGGGATTGCCTGAAAGAAGACGAGGCGGTGTTTCGGGCGAAACTTGGAAGCGGTGATGATGAAGGGGCAGTGGCTTTGTGCAACGGAGTGGCAGGGGCACTGACACTGTCACCTCCCCCGGCCTGAGTGAGCGCCCGCAGTGTGGAGCGACAAATTTTCTCCTCTGGCGGGGGTTTGGGTTTTGATAAAGGCTTTCGGATAGACGACTTCCTTTGCAACTCCTGGTTCTGCTCTCGGGCAGATGCATTAGTACCTGAAACCTTCTGGTCTTTCAAATCCTTGGAGTCCGGTGTCTTTTGGATGCTGGAGCGTCGGGATGAAGGAGCAGTTGACGGCCTCTCTCCTCGTCGGAAGGAGTTGCAGTTGAGGTTAGAGATGGACGGACTGGCAGGTGCTGCAGTGCTGGAGCCCCAGTGGTTACCAGACAGCCTCTCAGAACGTTTGCTCAGAGACGGAGAACCTCGGCTGGACCTGGAGATGGGCACAACCCGCCTCATGCCTTGGTTCTCGGAGTTAGTCAGGGTGCGGACAGGCTTGCATTTGTTTGCAGCAGAGGCGGTGTTCAGGGTGGCGGGCTTCATCCCAGCGGGTCGAGTTTTAGAGGTTGGGAGGTTCTTGGTGGAGGGTTTGGACGAAGTTGTTGGTTCTAACTGTCCATTAGTGGAGGAAGCCACTTCTGTATTTTCAGTGGTTGTGTAACAGGAAGCAGTCTCGTTTCTGCTCCTGTCATCTGTTGACTGTTGTGTGACAGCCTCTCCCTCTCTCCTCTCAGTGGTGAAGCAATGTTTTTCTTCCCCTTGATTGGCTGGTTCTTTAGCTTCCTCACAGACATCTGTGGTGTGAGCAGCTGCTTCACTGGCTGATGCAAGCTCTGCTGGGTGCCACATGGGGGAAGAGACAGGATGTGACGGGTCGTCACCACGGGAGACAGGCACCGGTTGGCTGCTGATAGGTACAGGCACTAGCTTCTTATTGGCCAGCTGAGGTTCTGAAGGCTTGCAATTGGCTGCGGCAGAGGAGGTCTGACGGCTTCCTCCCCGACTGTCACTCCTACACTCATCGTTCTCAGTTTGTGGATGTGTGCTGTCAGCGTGTGTGAGCTCGCCGCCTGCCTCACACACACCTGTCACGCACCATACAATCACCTTTTCCTCTCGTCCATCCTCTTCCTCTCTACCTGACGAGGATGAGGTTGTTTCAGATTTTTCTGTATTCCCAATCTGAGAGTTATTCTGCAGCTTCTGGATTTGAGATTTGTCCACTCCTTCTTCTTCCAAGTCTGTGACTAATATATCGTCCTTGTGATGCCCCTCGTTGTGGCTGGTCAGGGTGGTGACCTTGTTGAACACCTTCAGCTCAGGCACCAATGTGCATTTCTCTAAAACCACAGACATGTTGCCTGTAGCAGCAGTGCTGCTTTCAAACGTCTTGTCAATGCAGGCGATCTGTCCATTAAAATTCTGATCAGCTTTGTTCATTCTTGCTAGTTCCCCCCTCAAACCAGATTGAGTTCGATGGTCTGAAAGCACTCCCAGGCTGAGTCGATCTTTTCCATTGTTGTTGTGGTCGGATCGGTGGTTCTGATCAGAGGTAGGCTTGATTGTAACTTCATTTGTGGGATTGATGGTGTTTACTACAGTCTGGGTAGCATCATAGCTGAGGTAAGTGGCGGTTGTATGGTTTGCGTTTAGTGCACTCAAAGAGGTGTTGGGAGATGAGGAGGGGGTTTGCGGTGCCATGTGGTCCGTTTGAGGCTGCTGGTTTTGGGGTAAGCTGTATGTTGTGCTCCTTGGACTTTGCGGCCGAGTCTGAGAGGAGAGTCTTGGACCTCTAAGTTCAGGTGAGGCCGAAGGAAAAGCTGTCCTTGCTTCTCCCTCACCTCTCTGCTGGGCGAATTTGTTCTCAGGGGTCTCCATCCCCAGGAGCGTGCTCAGTTCGCGCTCAGCAGCAATAAACGGCGAACTGGATGGAGAGTGTCGGGACCGCCGTAAACTGCTCGAGCGTCCCAGAGGATTGAGGGAGGTATTTAGTGGTGAGCGGGGACGGCCTTGTCCGGCCTCGTCGTGTCGTGACATGGCAGCTGACATGTCCGTCTCGCTGCTGCAGCGCAACCCGAACGCTCTGCCCACCTACGACAGAATCACATAGTGGCAATTCAATCCTCATCAAGCACTTTGTGTGTATTTGTGTTTCAGTGTTTGGTTGTGAGTGTGTCTTCTTACCTCCGCACTCCTGGGCAAAGAGTGGCTCTTCTGATCCCCCAGCTCCTGTAAACGCCGGAAACGGGCTGCCTCCATAGCCTCCCTCTCCTTGTTCTCCTTCAGAGGGACAGAAAATAGTGAGTAGTTAAATAGTTTCATTTCTCTTCAGACATCATTTCACTTCTTAACTACCATCTCTATCTTTGAACACCAGGTGGCAGCAGAAGTCAGCTGAGTGTTTTAAAATATGCAAGTGACGTGGCTGTAGGGATGGCAACTGCCAGTACAGTAACTCCAGTACTGTGCTGAAGTACAAATTGAAGTGTCTTTACTTTTGCCTCATTTTATACACTTTATATTCACTTTATATTCAGAGAGAAATACTGTGCTTTTTACTGCACAACATTTATCCACAGCAACAAAACATATGAGGCTCATGAAACCTTTTAAATTATATTAATATGTACATGTAAAAGTCAAACTACCCAACAGTATTTAAGATTTGAGCTTTCATGATTAAGTAATAAACGAGTTAATTTGTCAATTTACAAAAAATAAATCAGCAACTCTTCTGATTACCAAACTTAAGTAATTTTTAATGAAAAAATCCCCAAAACATTTCATGTTTTCAGACTCTTAAATGTGGTGATTTGCTGCTTTTCATCGTCTTAAAACAAAATAAACTGAATCATTTTGTGATGTAAACTGGATAAAATAACAAAACATTTGAACACTCATTTATCACTTTTATTATTATCACTTTTATTCCACGATTAATAAAGAAAATCCAGCCAGGGTGACATGTGGAACTGTGTTTTTCTTAACTCAGTGATGTGTCTCATTTTAGCAAACCAACTCACTGAAGCTGTCGCTTTCTTGCAATATTTAAAACTGATTCACCAACAAAACAGCGTGGAAAATGGCCATTTTTTAGCATTGAAGGAGGTTGCACTTCCTGTAGGTGTTTCATAATAAAAGCCTTCCAGTGGTTTATCAGTAGAAACATTTAATGTGAAATAACAGCAGCAGGAAATATTTATATAGTTTAAATACTGCATGTGGACAAAATCCTCTATTTTAATTATTTCTGGCCAAATACCCTGGCACTGTTGTTGTAAAAAATTTATATTTTAGCATTTTAATATTGATCATTTCAAATAAATTAATCACATTTTCTGCATGTACTGCAGCATTTCAGACCCGTGGAAAACAACATAAAAGAATATCAATAATCTGTTGATTACCATTTTCAACCAATAACCATTAATATTCCAGACAATACCTACTTTCATATTAGAAGACTGAACATACCTTATCTGCCAGCTTCTAGCGTATGCTGTTGTTTATATTTAACTGAGTGTATGAACCTGTATGTGAGCGTACCTTGACAGCATCAGTGAACCTGGAGCAGAAAGTGTGGAAGATGCTGAAGCAGTCGTCCAGTCTGAACGTTTCTCTGTCTTCACAGAAGAAGTCAATCAGCTCACTGCCTTCCTTCTTCAGATGCTGCCGACTTCCACGCAGCGAACACAGAGACGAGGTGGCTGACTGAGAGACGTACAAAGACAATGATGAAAACACAGAAAAGCATATGTAACACACAACGTAACATTAGATTAAATGTCTTAATTAGTGAGCTATGGAGGTGTTTGATGGTGGATTTTTGAATTTTGGACTGAGCCAGGCTAAATGTTTGCCTTTGTTTGAGTATTTTTACAATGTGGTATTCGTACTTTTTCTTAAGTACATGATCCGAATGCTTCCTCCATCACAGGTGTGTGTTTTACCTGCAGGAAGTGGTCGAGTTGTTGGAGCAGCTCTGTGTCTCTCTGGACGTTCTCCTCTACTGAGCGCATGCGAGACATCAGCCACTGCAAGTCAGTGTCCAGCGTTTGCAAGGAGATCCTACAAGAAAATACAAGAAAAATGACAACTCTTTCTCATCAATATATTTTTATTCACACAGCGGTTTTCTCCTGCTGCTATGAAGCCAATGGCTTAAAGGTAATATTAAAGTTATAACAGTTTCTACTCCGCACTTCACGTCAGAATCACAGGCTTTGGAGGGAGAGAGATGGGAAAAAACAGGGAAGGTTTGAAATGTAGTCTCTATTTGGAGAATTAAATGTTTAATACGTGAAAATGCTGTTTGACCTGGCTGCAGGCTGGACGTGACTCAACTTCAGTGGAAACTCCAACAGCTTCTTGTCTTTTTTCTGTGCTTCCTGAAGGAGAAAGAAGACTCTGTCATTTTTAAATCTATTATTAAGATCTGTAATGTCAGCATTTCATTGTCTTGTTGAATGTCATTGACACACACACACACACACACACACACACACACACACACACACACACACACACACACACACACACACACACACACACACACACACACACACAGGTTACTGACCAGAGCGACAAAGTGTAGCAGGTTCATGCCCGGTTTGTTGGCCTTGGTGTCGGCCAGAGAAAGGAGGGACGACAGCTTGAAACCAACTGCGTTTCCTGCATAACCTCCCTGCAACCCACACAACACACACACACACACACACACACACACACAGAGAACACTGTCATGATTTCGGGTCTACTTTACTTATAAGATTGAGGGCTTTAAATTTGAGTCTTAATACATTTTTGCTGATTTTACAAATGTACCCCGCTTCTTTAAAACTTAACCTCTTCGGTTGGTCATTAAAGTCATGCCAGGCAGCCAAACATTGATACATTATTGGAAATTATAGTGGAGATGATGAAGTTTCCAAAGATACCAAACATGTCAGGCTGAGTTTTGGGAAATTACTGCAAAAGACGGACACATGGAGAATATTTAAATTTGCTGGAATAAAGTGGCCATAAAGAACATGGGATCAGGTTTCAATATTTCACTCAGTTTAAACATCATAGCTTTAAAGAGGAGTGTAATGATAATGCCAGACAGTAAGAAATTAACTGAACAGTTTGTAGTCTAGCTTGCTACATCCTCCCTCTTTGTTCTTTGTCTAATTATTCATTAATGCAGTTTTTTCACTCACAGCATTCAGGATGTTTCCAGCCTGCAGCACCAAGTGGAGAACAGCATGGAGCTCCTCACAACACATTAACTCTGGAGGAGAAAGAAGATCCATTTTTATTTGCATCAATACACAAAGGATAGACAAACAAACAAACATCACCGGCTTAAAATCATCACGTGGAAGAAGATTAAAGAGAATGAAGAGACAGTGAGGAAAAAACAGAGACATAAACATATAAATAAAGTGGAAAACATCTTCACGCACACAATAAAATAAAGACAACGAGGAGCTTATAATCCTAAAATCCTTTCGTGCAGCAGACAGTGTCAGAGTGTGGAGGGTTAGTTAACAATTGACACACACGGCTAAAAATAGTCCAGGTGTTAGTTTGTATTGTGAGAGAGTGTGAGGCTGTTTGATTAAGTGTCGTATGAAGTTGATGCATTAATCATTTGTAGCAAATATGTAGACAAATACAACAAAACAAACTCTTGAACGCTGCTTTTTTAAAACATCAGGATCATGTTATTCTAAATTTTTCTTATTGTACAGTACAGTAATTTACATTTCTATTACACTTCACTGTTTTGTCTGTGTGCACTGTCTTTAGGTTTGACTGTCTGATGGAGTGCACAGGGTGATACTTTGTTCTCTTTGTATCTAGTGTGAAATTGATTGAACGTCCGGTTCCCAACAGGTGTGAAGTGCTATCTTTTAGTTCTCAGCAGACAGAGGCTGAGAAAGAAACTCCCTAAGGAAGCGACAGAGATAGGAGTTCTGAATGGACAATTTGCGGCAGAAGGAATGTGTACGTGGGATTGAGTCAAAAGAAACTATGAATGTGTGTGTTCTGAAGGAACTGAAGGAACAAGTGCAACAGTGAGGCTCATTTATGTAGTTTTAATAGTTTTGGACAACAATGGAGCTCTATGGCTCAGAGGAAGAAGATATATCAGGCTTTCATACACACACTTGTAAGTGGATACGTTCAGCGTTGGTTTTGGTGTCGACAGTAAGAAAAAATATAGAATATTGACAGACACGGAAGAGAAAACAGGAGCTGTTGTTACCTTTAGTGGCGGAGCGAAGGACGTTAATGTCTCGTTTCATGGCCTCACACACCCCAGGAAACTCCTCTTTCAACAGCATGCACTCGATCCGGACTGAGTAGCTGGAGAGAAAAATAAAGGAATTAGTTATCTGTTTATTATTTTCTCCTCCGTATTGTTTTCATCTTATTTCCTCCCTTCTTTGCTATTCATGTACACATGTAACGGTGTATTAAGTAAAACCATGACTGTAAACCAAAGTGCATGTTAGACGTTGCTGTTAGTCACTGATGTTTCTCCATATTAAAAGCCCATTTGCCATCAGCCCTAAAGCTTCACGTCCCATCTGCTGTTACCCGAAGCCCTGAAAGCTTAAGCTCCATTTGTTCTGGAAGAAGAGCCTCTTCAGTCTCTTTTTATGTCTTTATTCTTTATTAAGATCCCCGTTAGCTTTCACACAATGGCAGGGACTCGCATGAAAACACCAATTTGAAGAAATCACACTGTTATTGGAAGGATAAAGATGTGACTGATTTCACAAATAAAAGGGCAAACATTAAAAGACTCAAAAACAAAAACAACCTCTCTGGTAAACTAATGCTTGAACTGGAATACAAAGGAGCACATGCAGCATTTGGGGGCGGTCGCTGTTTGGAATAATTACTAAACACTTGATCAAACAATGTCCGCCCACTATCGCAGGCCACTTCAAACGTTATTCTTTACTTGTCCACCAGATGCCCTCAGAGTTTGTTCTCCAGCCGTTACAGATCCTGCCGCTCCCATCTGCCCTGCTGTCACCTCCTTCACCTCACCTGGCCTTCCCGGCCCCCCGCCTCACCTGCGTCTCATTACCTCATCAGCAGCTCTCTACACATACCGGCCAAGATCCTTTGTTCCTCTGTCACTTTGTCCTAGTTGCTATGCTGTTGTCTTGCCCTGTGTTTTTTTGCTTTTGAGTTTCTGTCACCTGAACCTGCCTGTAAGCTATTCTCATCAAATTAACCACTAAGTCATCCTGCTGCCTCTGTATGAATTAGGATCCTTCCCCTGTTGCCACTTTTTGGATACATACAGACTATTCCTATATTAGCTTATTGCAGAGAAACTGCATCTGTGTTGACTGATAGGTAACAAGAAATTGCAGTAGAGGAAAGTCACAGATAAAGAATTTTAATTTGTCCATCAGAGAGCACTGATGATGGCTTACGAGACCAGACGATAGGCTACGTGATAGTGTGTTCACAAGAATGAGACGAGATGATATTTTAAAACTATTTTTATGAAATCTTCAATGACGAAATATATGATTGTCTTTTATTTCACTGTCACTCTGTCGCCGTTTATTGTTTCTACCTGGTACGCAAAATACTGCCAAACGATTAGATTAAATAGTGCCATCTTCTATGGTAATTTCTTCCTCCAGCACATTCTCATTCCCAACGCGTCACATATTGACGCCTGGTCAAGACCCCTTGGCATTGCTTTTTAACGCCCTGGGTACCATTTTAGCATTGTTTTTGGACGTGTAGGGTTCCGTGGTCAAGTTAAACCTACCTTTGGTGTTCATAAACAACGCTGCAGGGTTTCCACACTGTGTTGAACTATGACACTAACTGGCTCCCCAGTGCGCTACAAACTGATGCCAACAGGTCTTGACCATGTATCCATATGTGATGACTGGCAGCGAGAACCAAGCCAGGAGAGAAGGAACTAGGAAATATGTTTTTAGAGGCATGAGATGTCCTTGAACAGCTTCACATGTGACTGAATAGAAATGACGATAAATTATGTAAAACGTGTTTCTTGCAAACAGACTCTCTGACTCTCTCTGACTTTACTTGTCTCCATAATAAAAGTTGAGGGGGGAAATAAAAGAAAAAGAAAATCTTTCTAATAAATGAAGAAATGTGTGTGTGGGGATTTTGTTGATCTGGCCTACAATGAACACATATTTTAACTAGCCAGTGAATAATAAAAGAAATCAAATATAAGACTTTGCAGTGATCCACTTGAGTTTAATGTTATCAGATCAGTCCGCTACACAATAGGAGCTAAACTACTTAAAATCAAAAACACACACAAACACACAGAAAAATAAAAAAAATGTATTATGGCGCCTCACCTGGGAAGCTGAATCAGCAGGTACACAAAGGAATCAGCCAATGGGAGCTTAGAGACGTCGCCTCGGAACGCCTTCAGCTTCTTCACCTTTACGAGAGGAAACAGATGATGAAGAAGAAGAAACTAACATGATGGTGTTAATGTGTGTGTGTGTGTGTGTGTGTGTGTGTGTGTGTCACCTCCTCCTCCTCAGGCAGCAGTTTCAGCAGGTCTTTCAGAGGCTCCACCCCATAAGGTTCACTGTTGCCATGACGAATATCATCTACTATCGCCTGATTGGCCCTGGAGGAGCAAGATATTTACATTTAGTAAACAGTGGGCCTAATACATTACGTACCAGATAAATTGATAAGTCAATTAACAGAGAGCTAATAATCACTGAATACTGTGATAACTGATTCATTGCTTAGGTCAAGGTTGTTTTGCGTCTCTCTCTGGTTGATTTGTGTCCCTTTGTGTTCTTTTGTTGCATTTTTTGCATCTCTTTGTGGTTGTTTTGCATCCCCGGGGGTATTTAGCATCTCTGCATTTTTTCTGTATCTTTGTGGCACTTTTGCTTCTCTTATATTATCATGGCTATATTAAATATAAGATGTGATATTCATTTTGGCAAATATATATTCAACAATCATGATGGACGTCCTCTAATTTGACTTGGAACCAGTCACATGCTCTGTCTGCACTCCACAACATGCCAGCATCACCACATCTGTTTACCCATAACACCCCAGGATGAGGGCGAGGGCACACATCACGCCATCACACGCCAACACCCTGTCTGTCACACTGTAGCAGAGATATTCAAGTCTACTGGAAGCGTGTTCAATCCTTTAACATGTAAACTCCTGTCCATAACTGTGTGTGTGCCGTATGTTCGTCAATGCCTTGCAGCGACTCGCAGCCCGGATTAACTGATCCAATCAGATCGATCACCAACACAGGTATTAACCAGTGTCGGCCCAAGAGCGGCGTACCTGTTCATGACCTTTTTATTTTTCTCTTGTGGCAATTAGCATGTGAACTTTTGTTTGTTTTTTATCATTTTTATCTGACTTTTAGACTTTTTTTTATCTGATTTAAGGTCTTAGGTTAATTAACGGTTAGGTGTTTGAGAGACAACTGGTCTGGTTAGGTTTAGGGTTAGTGTCCTGGATCATATATTACCGTCTCACTGATATCTAAAGGAACACAGATCAAAGCCACAGCGCTGTTTTCACACTGAACGCAGATATTTTGGTTCTTTTTGGCGGGGATTTTATACATTTTTGAAATACTTGTTGAAAAACATTTTGCGCTGCTTCAGGCAACAATGGAACATGTGAGTGTTTGTGGTCAGAGTCACAAAACGAGATTTACCTCTTGAACTGTTTGAGGAAAATCCCAATGTTCATCCCTCGCTTAGAGTCTAGAATGGAGACCTGGTAGAGAAACATAGACAGACACAGGGAGAGAGAGAGAGAGAGAGGGGTGAGCAGGATTGAGGACAGAGCTCAGGTGGAAAGTGTCCACACACACCTTGACCTACTCCAAACCTTCAACAAACAGCAGCACACGCCAACCTGCATCACACACACACACACACACACACACACACACACACACACACACACACACACACACACACACACACACACACCTCATCTTTGGCCTCTCTGAACGAGCTCCTGGTCTTCCCTCCCCTGGTAGGTGTGGCCTTGGCGTTTGATTGACAGTCGTTCTGACCAAAAAGCTCCTCGATGGTTTGTACGTCGATCTGGTACTGCTGCTGCACCCGACCCTGAGTCCACAGGTTGGCCCGCCCCTTCACCTGCAACACACACACACACACACACGTGTGTGCTTTAATACAACATAATATAAAAAATGAGACTAGATCTATGCTGAGCGGTGACTCTACCTGATCCTCTGGTATCGTTTTCCAAAAGAAACTCCTCACCCTCTTCTTCTTCCTCAGGCCTCCTCCTACAGGGTCTCCCAGCCCAGGAAACACGGGCAGCTGGGGAGGAGGAGGAGGAGGAGGAAGAGGAGGAGGAAGAAGAGGGGGAGGTGGTTTGTCCCGTTGCTCTCAATATCAGAAAATCCTAATGGAGGATGAGGAGGAGGAGGATGAGACGTTGGCACGCCGATGGCCACGCCCTCGAAACGTTCATGACTCGGGAGACGCTGCCCATCACATGGATCCCCTCGGCCAGTTGGACGGGAGCAGAGAGAAGAGGCGGAGGGTTTGGCGGCAGACAGATCGGTCACCAGCGGATGGGTGACCATGGCAAGCGGCGTGGTGACGATGATGAAGATGATGAAGATGATGAAGATGCTTCAGGAACATCAGAGATCGTTGAAGAATCAAACGGCAGAAGATGAGAGAGCTGAAGAGAAATTTAAAAAACATTTACTGAGAGAAACACCAGACATTTTGGTAAACATATTTGTGTAAATATGAAGGACAGCCAGACACCTGTTAGCTTAGCTTAGCATAAAGACTGAAAACAGGGGGAAGCAGGTAGTCTGGCTTTGTCTGAGGGGAACAAAATCCACCCACCCTCATTAATACAATTATACTAAAATTATTAATAAAATGATTCACATCAGATGTTTCTTCATTTTCGACACATCCATTTATGAAGCCAATAAGAGAAGTTTTTATTTTGATATTTAAAATGTCTAAATACAAACAAATCAAACAAAGAATATGTATTGCTATAAGCAATATCCTCTTTCTGTTTGCATTTACTGCGTCCTAATTAAATGAAGAACATTTAGCTTTTTGCCTCTGATAACTGAAATGTTTTTGAATGTGACATGATGACACAAAATGCAAAGCATGCTGTCATTTTTCTCCGTGAGGAGGTGCACAGCAGTTTTTTCTTTATGGAGATGGAGACACCAATGCCAAAATGAAATACAATCAACTGTCCAATCACAGCACACGCTCACGGGCCTTAGACGGTGCGTAAGGCAAGTACTCAAAGCTCCGCAAGGGTCCGATGTTCCAAATTTTATCGGACCAAATTGATCGAATTCTGATTTTTGCGGCGCTAAAAAAGAGTTCCACCGTTCTACATTGCTGCAACATGTAGTTACATTTTTGGGGAGGTGCCTGTCAGGCTACACCATAGATTCAATGCAGAAGTACAACTTTGGCCTTTAGTGTTGCTGATGGTACCCATAGCTGCGTTTCGACCAATGGAGCTATACCCCTGAACTAGGAACCTATGGAGGAACTCACTGTGTTTCCACCAAAGGTGGGTCTTTATTTCACCCCCCCAAAAAGGCCCTGCTCGGGAGGTAGTACTTTCCGAAAATACCGGTACTTTGGTCAGCGTGCAGCGGTGTGTTTACAGCTCTACAGTTATGCAAAATAATGGGTCTGAAGTTGTTGTTTTAAGTTTTCATGAGTCAGGAAGTTTTTACACAGAGTCAAAGTCGGTCTCTTCTCCAAAACAAGCGGAGCAGCTGATTACAGCGGGTAATTAAAGTTTGTTAAACATCCCGTTCCTCCGACGTTCAGGCGGACACAGACGAGTGCTGCAGTTGTTGCGATTTTATTTTTGCTGTGTGTTGCTTTCTCTTTGCTAGAGTTATTTTAGGAACTTGGTGGTTTTATCCAGTTTGTTATTAAATGTGGAACAAACTTTATCGTGTGTCTCTCCACTATACTTCCGCACAAAAAATTTTCATTTATAAATGTTGCTCATGGATAGTGGTTACAAATAATGATGCCTGTGAATCGCTTTGTACGGCGTATAGGCCTACAGCCTACGTCAGCTAAGGACCTAATCTTCGCAGGTCTTTAGACCACGGTGGAAACGCACACAAAAGTGGGCTGAAGGAACCTTATATTTCCTTGAAAAGAGATCCGGGGACTTAAAAGTCAGACAGCCTTTCACAGTAAAACTGCTTCCTGTAGCTTCCTGTAGGCACTTGCTTAGGCATTTCAATATGTGAGAGCTGGATGAAAGGATTCAATATGATTACGTCCTCACTTTATACCTGAGCTAAATTCAGCTGCTGCAGAAACAAAAACACAAAAATAACATCCATCAAAAGTAAATTTATGGAGCTTCTGACCTCTTAATATGCAGTGAGTAACCTGATTTTAATTTTGTTGCACTTTGAAAACTTTTTCCAGGACACTCAGCTACCATCAACCTCATTATGGGTAAAGATTATTGAGCCATATTGCAGATTATATTGATCATATAGTTAGAGGAATCAGAGGAGAAACTGTGTTGTTCAGCTAAATGTACACTGAGACTCCTGCAGAGAGAGGAATGACTGAATGAAAAATCCAGTTGGTACGCCGCCATGTTGGACTCACTGTTTTTATTCATTCTGATTCAAGAGTGTGTGCGAATGTGTGGGTCTCGATTTCAAATGTCTTGTGATTAAATGAATGTTAATTAAACATTCGTAACTTTACGTTACATGTTAAACATTTACTTTTGTCTCATGTGCTGTTTCTTTTCTCCACTGAAACTTGATGTGTTTGTTGATCAAACAGCTCTTCTTCATCATCATCCTCACACACACACACACACACACACACTTCCTTGTGCACCACGAGTCTCACCTGAATGTGAAACCACCAGCTGTTCAAAGGTGTTTCTGTCTGTACGGTGGCAGGATGTCAGTTTTGAGCTACTTAAGCAAAGCTGCAGGAAAAGGGTGGAGAACATTCACTGTTCAGGGTTTATCTTTGAAAATGTAAAACCCTGAAATAATAAAATCCTAAAACATATACAGTGAGGAAAATAAGTATTTGAACACCCTGCTATTTTGTTCTCCCACTTAGTAATCATGGAGGGGTCTGAAATTGTCATCGTAGGTGCATGTCCACTGTGAGAGACATAATCTAAAAAAAAAAATAAATCCAGAAATCACAATGTATGATTTTTTAACTATTTATTTGTATGATACAGCTGCAAATAAGTATTTGAACATCTGAGAAAATCAATGTTAATATTTGGTACAGTAGCCTTTGTTTGCAATTACAGAGGTCAAACGTTTCCTGTAGATTTTCACCAGGTTTGCACACACTGCAGGAGGGATTTTGGCCCACTCCTCCACACAGATCTTCTCTAGATCAGTCAGGTTTCTGGGCTGTCGCTGAGAAACACGGAGTTTGAGCTCCCTCCAAAGATTCTCTATTGGGTTTAGGTCTGGAGACTGGCTAGGCCACGCCAGAACCTTGATATGCTTCTTACAGAGCCACTCCTTGGTTATCCTGGCTGTGTGCTTCGGGTCATTGTCATGTTGGAAGACCCGGCCTCGACCCATCTTCAATGCTCTAACTGAGGGAAGGAGGTTGTTCCCCAAAATCTCGCAATACATGGCCCCGGTCATCCTCTCCTTAATACAGTGCAGTCGCCCTGTCCCATGTGCAGAAAAACACCCCCAAAGCATGATGCTACCACCCCCATGCTTCACAGTAGGGATGGTGTTCTTGGGATGGTACTCATCATTCTTCTTCCTCCAAACACGGTTAGTGGAATTATGACCAAAAAGTTCTATTTTGGTCTCATCTGACCACATGACTTTCTCCCATGACTCCTCTGGATCATCCAAATGGTCATTGGCAAACTGAAGACGGGCCTTGACATGTGCTGGTTTAAGCAGGGGAACCTTCCGTGCCATGCATGATTTAAAACCATGACGTCTTGGTGTATTACCAACAGTAACCTTGGAAACGGTGGTCGCAGCTCTTTTCAGGTCATTGACCAGCTCCTCCCGTGTAGTTCTGGGCTGATTTCTCACCTTTCTTAGGATCATTGAGACCCCACGAGGTGAGATCTTGCATGGAGCTCCAGTCCGAGGGAGATTGACAGTCATGTTTAGCTTCTTCCATTTTCTAATGATTGCTCCAACAGTGGACCTTTTTTCACCAAGCTGCTTGGCAATTTCCCCGTAGCCCTTTCCAGCCTTGTGGAGGTGTACAATTTTGTCTCTAGTGTCTTTGGACAGCTCTTTGGTCTTGGCCATGTTAGTAGTTGGATTCTTACTGATTGTATGGGGTGGACAGGTGTCTTTATGCAGCTAACGACCTCAAACAGGTGCATCTAATTTAGGATAATAAATGGAGTGGAGGACATTTTGAAGGCAGACTAACAGGTCTTTGAGAGTCAGAATTCTAGCTGATAGCAGGGTGTTCAAATACTTATTTTCCTCACTGTACCTTCAGCCAGTTGTCGTCTATTCAGAGAAGAAGAAGAGAACTTTACTTTAGTTTTACTTCTTCTGCCAAGCTGGTTGGCAACATGTACAGCTGAAACAAAGCCGTGTTTATCGGCTTCTCACTGACCCGCCCTTCTCTGCTTCTGATTGGCTAGTAGTCCTTAACTAGAAACTGCGCATGTGCTCCCAACAAAGATCATTTAGAGACAAGATGTATCACTCCATAAAATGAAGATCACAGGGTGAAAAGGAGCTGCAACAATGTGCAGTATGAAAATAAATGGTGTTTTTTGAAAATTAAACCATGTAAACCTGTTCTCTACAAGCTCTAAATAAAATTTTGGACCTGAAAATGAGCATATGACCTCTTTAAGTCTTACAAAGTCCCATTGAGCCTGCTTCTTGCCTTTAGCTCTGTCAGCTAATATTTACTACTAATGATGCTTCTGCAGATATTTTTACTGTCCCTTTTAATGTTCTCACAATAATAACAACATTTAAAGTAACCTTCCTCCGAATAACTACATGTCAGCTTCGTTTATGCCACTCTACAGGAAAAGACTTGTACCAGGAAGTCCATATCTGGCTCACGTGGAATTTGAACTAAATTCCTGCAATGCTAAATTATTTAACGCACACACACACACACACACACACACACACACACACACGCAGTCACAGTGTGAGTCCCCCGTGTGAAGTTCTGGATACATGTCAACAAAGATATACACTTCCTGCTGATGAATTAAAGATGAGGGTGTGTGTGTGTGTGTAAGAGTGTTACATAACTTAATCTCACATCCCTGTTTGATCGACTGATTTCTTCCGTCAAACTTTCAACTTAATCATACTAACAATGTGTGTGTGCCTGTCTGCCTGTGTGTGTGTGTGTGTGTGTGTGTGTGTGTGTGTGTGTGTGTGCAGTAGTTGGTTGCAGTTACAGTATACGTTCGTCCCGTCCTGGTCCTGACCTGATTAC